TTGGTTGAATAATTAAAAGACAGAATATAAAAATTGGGATTAAAAATTCGTAATTAAAAATTAACCAACCTAAGGTTAGGGTTCCTAGGTTGTCCTTCCTTGGATAAAAATTACCAAATTCGCGATTAATCTCAATTGAATCAGAATTCTTATTTCCAATGGAAAACAATCTGATCATCAAAATCTGATGACCATTCTTTTTCCATAATCGCAATCGCGAACCTCAGATCGAATATCCACAATCGCACGATATCGATCTGAGTTAGGGTAAAGAAACAAATGTGGTTAGAGAATGATCGCAAATCCTCTAGACAGATCCATGGAATCCCTTCCCCTTAGGTTGATTAAAGGGGTTTTAGCCTAGCATGGCTAGGATAAACATGAGTAAAAATTAAATTAAAATAAAAAGAAGAAGAAAAGATGAAGAACGCGAAGAACGCTTCAGAGAAAAATGCTTTGATCCTCAAATTCGAAAAATTACAGAATGAATAATAGTTTCCTACTTTGCCGGCATATACCCCTACCCAAATCGGGTTAGGGCTCAGTTTTGATCGGCCCATCTATCTACAATACCAAGTAAAATAAATAAAATAAAATAAAACTAAAACTTGGCTTTGGGCCACTTAAGTAATTGGATTTTAATTTAAATTACAAGTCCAATAATTAAATAAAAATTCAGCAAAACGCGTCCAACTTGGCGTCAGAAATAGTCCAGCTTCCAGTCCGAACTGGGCTTCGAGATCTTCATAAGAATTGTAGCCCTCTGTGTTATCTGAAAAGCACAACAAGAACGGAGTCAATCCGACAACTGTGGACCGAGATATGGCCAAAATACAGAAGTAATGTAAAGCTGAAAAATTCTGACGAAAATAAATTAAACCCAATCAAAACTAAAAATCTAAATTAACTCAAAAGATCATTATTTTATTCAAATAAATCCTAAAAATATTAATCAAGAGTAACAAATAAGTGCAATAAAATATGAGTTATCAGACTTCACCTCCATTTTAGGGCCTTAAGCTTTTGATTTTCTAACTCATTTTTCTAGCCATCTCTTGGAAAAAATTTCAACTACAAAGTTGTTCCCCACACTCTTGTGAATGACTTCCATGTAGTGTGCATCTTGTGGGAAGCATTGTTGAGGGAGAAAGGGCCATAAATCAGCCTCGAAAATTTGGGATTGTTGGAGAATTTTTGGGGACTTTGGGGTTGATTCGTTGCTTGGAGATCAATCCCTAGGATCATTGGAAGCTATTGGTGGTAAGATTTCTCACTCTCACTTAGTTTTCTATGAGATCATAAAATGGTTAGGGTTGTTGAAGTTTTAAATTGAGTTATGGTAGTTAGGAGCATTAAATGGTATGTCTCCTTTGGAATTAAATACTTAGAATGATAAACGATGATGATTGATGCAATAAAATTTATGGTGATTTGTAAATTTATAACTTAGGCAATTTTGTGATGAGTTTCAAGACTTTATGAAATTGGTGTATGGTGTAATTGAACAATTGAATTATGGACCATTGGTATAGGTTAATAATAAGATTTTATGGCATGTGTAAGTGTTGAATTGGATTGAAAATCTTGTGGGGGTACTTCCTTGAAGATTTCAAACCATAGGGTGTTTGGAAGGAAAATTGATGTGGAATTATTGTTTAATTAATAGTTGAGGTTTTAGTGAATAATTGTTGGGTTGATGAGTAAGTTTGATGAGTAATGTGATTGAGATATGTAAAATTAATGATCTGGGCCATTTGGCCTAAGTGGCTAAAATTGGTTATAAGTTTTGCGAAATTGATAAATTGTTTGCATTTGATTGATGGTCAATGTTGTTGATCAATATAGGTTGCCTCTCACGGACGCGATAGTGGAAGACTGAACTTAGAGCGTACGTTTTGTAGCATTGTGCTTGGAGTTGAGGTAAACCTTTGGAACTTGGGTTTAGTCCCTTGTGTGCTCCACCACACCTAGTGGAAGGTTGTGGTTGGATTTTGTGCTTTTGTGTGAATATGTATGTTCATGCATTATTGCTTGATTGTGTGACATGCTTGGAGCATGTTGTGTGTAAAATTGTATGATCTCTGGCCAGTAGATGTGTGTGGTTTGGACTTCCGCTGGAGATATCCTTTGGGGATTCTGGTCGGGTTTTGCCGTGGGGCCGACTCTGGGAGCGGTACCAGGATGATCCAAACGTGGGACTTCCACTGGATAGAGCTCATGAAGAGTTCCAGTTGGGTTTTGCCATGGGGTTGTCTCATCCATGGGAGAGGCACCGGGAAGATTCCCGGGAGTTATATGATGGGGTCCTTGAATGCAATCCTTATGTGGATGTTCTTGGATTTGTGCCCAGTTGTTGTGATTTTGTATGTCATGCATTTTTACATGATGTTATTGTTGCACATTGAGTGAGCCATGGGATGGAGTGATCCTCTAATACCCTTGGTTTACTGAGATATATTTGTATATCTCACCCCGCGTTTGGGGACATCATTTCAGGATATAGTGAGCACGGAGGAGCTTCGGGCAAAAGGCCCGCTTAGTAGACGAGTTAAGGATGATGTGCATATGGAGGGCATGGCATTTTGGAGGAGTATATTTGATGCACATAGCATTTTATTTAGCATTTTGGGACTTAGATCATGAACATATTGCATGTTGAGATTTCCATGCTTTTGTGGTGTTCATGATTAGATTCTAAGTCTTTTGTATTTGATTTATATTTCATGCCTTTGGTTTATATTGGTATTTTGGTGAGCATTGGACTTGTCCATGGCCACACATTATGTTTAAAGGAATTTAGTGACTTGTGATGTAAAATAAGCCATATGATGTGTAAATGGCAAAACAAATGGGAAATATTGTAATTCATGCATTGATTAATGAATATGCATGATGAAAGGGCCTAGAGCCTACATTAGTACTAGTGTAAGGTGTATATTAAGTATTAAGGTGTTAGGAGTAAGTTACATCACCCATTTAGTGCATTAAAAGCTGTCAAAACACAATTCTACAGTGAAGGAATCGATTCCCTATTGAAAGGAATCGATTCCCAACATCACAGTGGCTTAATTCTGCGTTCTCTGTTTCAAGGAATCGATTCCTTTTGGGAGGGAATCAATTTCTCAAAACATGGGAGTCAAATTTTAGCTTCTGTGTATTACTGTAGCTGCTGGGAATCGATTCCCAACCTCAAGGAATCGATTCCCAATGTGCAAAATTTTGAAAAAGTGTCATTTTACAACCTAAAGTGATGGTATTCCTTAGAGGGGTTATAATAAATAAGGTTTATGCTTCCGCGAGTTTTGCATTTACATTTACGGCGTTGTTTTAATTAGTTACGAAAATGGTTAATTGTTTAACAATGAGGATTTGATAAAAGAAAAAAGTTTACCTGTAATTTAATTAACTCAATTATGGAAATGGTTGTAATTATTTTTTTAATATTTCAATTCCAAAACGACGTCCTTTTAAGAATAAATGCAGATAATTTATCTGCAGTAACTGCAGAAATATTTTTCTGATTTAAAAATTGTATAAATTGTCAAAAATTTTGTGGCCAATGTTTTTTAAAATTAATTCATGGGCATCAAGTATGACTAATATTAGCTTTACGAAGTTTATCGCACACAACTTAAGAAACTTTTTTATATTATATTATCTAAGGAAAAGACAAGTAGCCACATCTTACTCTAAACTCAAATTAAAGAATTAAAATAAAAAAGTAGTATGTAACAATTGTTCAGGTTTTTTTTTTTTTTTTTAAAAAGCAATGAACTCAGAGGTTCTCTGAAGCAACAAGTTAGACAACTATTTATATGGTTTTTCATACTTTATAATTAAGAACTGCAACAAGCTTTACAAAGTTTAGTGCAAAAGTCGGTACCTATTTCTGTAATGCAGTACGCACAACAGTTTTTGAAGCACTGTTTGTCGAGAACCTACGGAGATTTTTGAATGTGTTAACATAGGTCGAGCTCGTCTCGTGCCCATAGCTCAACTCTTATCAACTTGTCACGTGCCCCCATAAGTTTTTTTTTTTTCTCTCTCTCTCTTTTGTTACTTATTCATTTATGCAGTTAATTGGTTAGCTTTTCTGGTGTAACATCTTTTCCTTCGTAGTTAGTTAGTTTGTAGTCCATCACTGATTTATATATATGGGTTTTATAATTCTCATTTAACATGAGAATTATAATTTTCTTATACACTCTTCGATTTTCGTGCTGACATGGATCTTACAAATAATGTTTTCTAACACATGAGTCTCACATGTTTTTTTATCTCTACAACATAAAATTTCAATTCTCCTTCAACATGAGAATTATAAAACCCTTTATATATCAGGTTAGGTGTGTAACTTGTGATTATCTTTCATAATGAAGAAATCATTCCTCTCCTGTCTGAGAAGTGGCAGAGGCGTCGTTTTGGGACATCATTTGGAATGCACACATGGTGCCAAATTGCATAATGAATATCTTGATGGATCAGTCCAGTCCAGTCCCTCGTTTGTGTAACATCCCGCATAATTAGGAACTTATATTAATTATAAGTAAGAATGTGAAATATACTTGCATTTCGAATTAATTTTATGACTTATAGTGGAATTAATTTAATTGGGAAAATTATTCTATTGGAAATTATAAGTGAATAATTATGTATTTTAAAAGATTCAAAACACTAGTTAAAAAGGGATAGAATTACAATTAATTATAATAAAGGTAGGAATTTTAATTGATACCTAGTGGAAATATGAATTAATAATTAATATGAATGTATTTTATGTGATAAGTGAACTTTATTTATCTCTCACAAAAATAAAAATCTGTATGCATGTAATTTTATTGGCCATAAAATGGCCACATGGCAAACCCCATCTACCCTATCTCACAACCACCCATGGCACCCAATAGGAAAAGAGAAATTCTTTTTGCATGTAATCTGATTGGTTATTAGAAACCCTCAATCATCTTGTCCATATTGTTCTTTCCTCTTGTGCGCACAACTCCAACTTGAGCAGGAGAAGGTAAGGTAACTCTTGTTGTTTTCTGGTTTCCCCCTCCTTGGACCGATTGTTGAGTGAGTTTTCTTTTTTGAACATGACTTTGTCTTGATGGGGTCGCACCACCATTGCATGCGGCTGTGAGTTCGAATCCTTGAAGAATGAGATAAGAAGGCTGATGTCCTTGCTTTAAGCGCTAATCTTGGGGGTATTCATGGAGGTAAATCTGAGTCTAGAGTTCCCTTTTGTTTCCTTACTTGTTCGACCTGCCATGTACTAAGGGGGATGTAATTTTTGTCATTCTTTCATGCTACTCTAAACAGTTGCCACATGAACTTTAAGAGAACCCTGTTTTTGCTATCCTATTCCATGTTTCTGCCTTGGACTGCCGTAGAACTGAATGACCTCAAGTAAGAGTAAACTATAAAAATTAAACCATTAACTACTCACTAATGGTTCAGCCTATACATGTATAATAGGAGGATGAGTGATGCTGGCCACTTTCGTTTTCTGAAATTTGTTAACTGGTACAGCCTAGGAGTTGATACATGTTTAAACAATTATTTTAGGATTGGAAGAGAATTAATTGTCATGCCTTAGGACTGCCCTTTTGGGCAGAATAATGATGTAACTTTGTATGCTGTAACTTTGAGTAGACAGCTTGGGTAAGGGTCACATTTAGCGCACCTCATGTCTAACTAGGAGGATACTTTATATTGATGATTTTCATTGCATAAATTTTGTCCTTGGAGCCGCCCTTTTTGGTGTTGATATTTGATAATCCAAAACTGAAATTTTGAGAACATAGCCATTTAAATGGGTTGGACTGTTCCGTAATTAGAAAATTTAGCAATTTTGGCATGTGTTAGAGAGTCTGAAGGCTGTATGCTATTTTTATTTACCATGACTAAGAGATGACAGTAGGGTATGTTGGAGAAGGAAATAAAATTATTAAGTGATAGTGGTAAGACTAAATTGGTGCATTTAGGAATAATGGGATTTTTGCCAAATTGATGTTTATTAAGAGATTAATTATGTACTAATCAGTTTGCGTTGATGTAAAATTGTAAGAAACCAGATAAGTATGGTGATGTGTCTACCTTGCCGTGTCTCGAAATATTTCATACTGTTTTTAAACCCTTTTAATTCTGGTATTTTGTTTATAAAACTATTATGCTGTCAAATTCGGATTTTGGGCTGAAATTTTAGGCATTTTGCGAGTTCTGTTTCCGGGGCTACGGAACTCCGATTGAGCTATATTTTATATGTATGCGTAGCCCCAGATGTGCACTTCCTTCGTAACAAAGAAAATTTTTGTAAACTGTTAAGACCGATTGTATATAAATTTTGTAAGTCAGGCAGGTTTAAGAAGAAAGTTTCATTTTCGCAGCAATGATTGTATGCAGAATTTTAGTTGTTTAACCTATGGATTCTGACTTAAGTTTTACACATAAAGTATTTAATGAAAACCTTTGTTGTACCTATGTGGGAACCGATTCAATTATTTTACACGAATATTTCACACAAATTATTTTAAATTAATGGCAGAAAATTCGCTTAGTATGTGGACCTGGAAACCGATCACAAATCAAGGATTAGGAGGGTGGGACAACCGTGTAATATGTAGAAAATAAACGTGATAAATTCTGATTTGATGTATGTATTTGTTTAGGTGCACAAGTTCTTAGATAATGGGACTGTTCGATGATGTTTGGAATGCTTGATTTAAAAGTAAAGTGCCAAGGTATGTGTAGGCGGTATTACCTAATGTGACAATTGGCTAGTGTATGGAATTGTGATGTGTTGCTCACATTTGTTCTATGTATGTTATGATGATGATGAGCCAATGGTAAGAATATGAAAGGATGATATGATATATGCATGCATTTTACATCATAATACATTTTTCTGTTGGGTGCGATTGCATAACATGGCATGTATACTTGATTCATGACATCTTGAATATATATATATTTGTATTGAGGACACGTGACTGAGCATGCATCATATAGGCATGCCTGGTACCAGGAGAGGGGACACTTGGCTTCAGTCCGCATAGGTTCCACAGTGGGATTCACCTTCATGGGAGCCATTAGGAATACCCACTGTGATGCTACGCGCACGACGGTGCTATGAGCGTAAAGGAAAAAGGGCGTTATATACGCGTTATGATATATGATGAAAAGGATTAAATGTTTGAAGTGACTATTTATGATTTTGTGCCTAGTTAATATTGTTGCATTATGGTTTTGTTGCCACACTACTGGGATTTTCTCTCACCCCTTTGGGGCTGCTATTTTTACAAAATGGCAGGAGGACGTAAAAGCTTTTGAGGACTTGGATATTTGCTGTTGGCTTCTACTGTTTGGGCATGCTGCTATTGATGTGATATTTTATGGATGACTGTATGAAATTGAGAAGCTTTTATTACTGTGAACTATGATTTTATTATTGCATTACGATTTTATGACCAGCAAGTATTTTGGAAACAGATCTTGAAACGTTTGCGAAAAGGATTTTGACATGTTATCTAAATGCTGAGTTTTGAAAAGTCTTTGCGAGCACTTTGTAAGTTGTCGTACTGGGGCTACAGACCTCCGATTTTCTTATAATTTATATGCACGCGTAGCCTCAGGTGTCTAGTTTCATTATATATAAACCTTGCAAAGAAATTCTGAAAGATCGATTTATTATGAATTTTACCAGCCAGGACATTTGTGATATTTCCACTACTTTCTCTCTTATTTTGCGAGTTATGTTTCGAGGGGCAAACGAACTTCAAATTACTATTATTTTATATGAACGCGAAGCCCCGGATGTCTAGTTTCTAGATTACAAAGAATATTTTTTTGAATCGTTGAAGTGAATTTTATACGAATTTTTAAAGACAGCAAGGTCTGCCAGGAAAGTTATATTTTCAGTAGTTGAGAAATTTTGAAAGTATACTCTGATTTTTGTGACGAACCCGATTTCAATTATAAGTTTTAATTGGCATTGTAAAAGTGATTTTCAGTCTCTAAAATATGGTTAAAGAACTCTAATCCGCTTAGCAAACAACTCTCTTGGATGCATACAAGGGAGGGTGTTACAGTTTGAAAGCTCTGATACCATATAGAAATATGATAGAGCAGAAAAGATCTTATTTTTCTGATTCATCTCTGAATCTGCATCGTACATGGGGAGGGAAAAACAGCACAACCAAAATATCTAAAATAGAATCTAGATAATTCTATCCTTAATAGGCTATTTGGAATAGAACCAAGAACATCTCTGCCTACCACTAACCACATGGATCATCTGGCAAAATTAATCAAATTAAATCAATGGTCTTGAGTTTAAACTTTAAGTTAGAAATTATGTTAAAAATTTAAAAGGAATAACTTGATCACCTGAGTGATCCTACTCAACTTAAGCTGAATTAATTAGATAATTGATAAAATAGTGGAGAAATTCAAAAAATAAAGAATAAACTTGTGTAGACTTGTGTAATATGATTGTCTTAACCCATGACCCAAACTCGAGACCTATTATGCATCGACACTTCAAAAACCCTACATATCATGTCCGACACTCCTCGACACTCCCCGGCACTCCGATATTCCCCGACACTCTAACACACATTGCAGAAACTCAAAAAAAGGTTCAAAGTTTGTCTTGCGTTGCATTTTTAGTTCCAAATATTAGATTCTTTGGATTTTATTTTTTTTTATACATGAAAATGAATAAAAGACAAAGCAAAGAAATAAATGCATAAAATAAAAAACTAGCCCTTTCCTTTCCAAGGATGAGGAATGCTCGTCACGTCCGCTTGGAGAAGAAGTTTCAGCAAGTCAGGAGGTTCATCAAAGATAACATCTTGTAATCCAGAATTATTAAGGGGAAGATTAACTAAAAAATCAACACAAGGTTGGCTTCTCTACATGCATGTATAACCGAAACCTGTCAGTCACGATCAAGAAGTGCTCGTAAGCGAGACTCACGAGCTGCACCACCACATTTGATGAGCAAAGCGACCACCAAAGTGGAATCACTCTCAAGAATTAGACGATGCCAACCTCTCTGCCAAGCAATATTAAGACCATTCCAACCCCCCCCCCCCCCCAACAATTCTGATGTAAGCGCATTGCAGATTCCAATGCGAGACGAAAACCCCACGAGCCAAGATCCATAAGTGTTGCGGAACAAACCCCCACAAGCAGCTGCACTTGGAGACCCTCTTGCAGCACCGTCCGTATTAAGCTTAATGAACCCAAATGTTGGAAATTCACAACGGACTAAAATATCAACTGGATAAGGAATATCATATGTAAAAATACACATCATGTCCACATATTGATGCTGAATAAAGGCAATAGAATATGGTAATGTAGAAGCCACCATATGAAAATGAGCAACTTGATTTCGCCAATACTAAATCTGATATAGGAAATTAACGAAAAAGGAAGACCAATTACGAATATCAAGCTTCTCAAGAAACCAAAATTCACGCAACCAGTAGAATAAATTGCCCTAAAAAAATTCATCATGAAGAGCTAAAGGAATAAAGGCACACCATAATTCACGAATCACCGAACAATCGTGCAAAGCATGAAGAATTGTCTCAGCTTCTTGCCTGCAAACATGACAAGTACTATCTCCATAAGACCAAGAAGCAACCCAATTTCTAGTAGGTAGTTTACCGTGAGCAATCTTCTATAAAAGAAGCTTTAAACGATGAGGGCCATTCCACTTCCATATCTTGGACCAACACCTCTCCTCCTAAATAATCTACTCCAACTCTTGAGTACCACTAATCAGATTATATAGCACCCTAACCGAGACCAGATCACCATTTTCCAGAGTCCACTGTTTTTTATCAGGGGGCTCCAAATCCGAAGGTAGTATCACACTAAGGATATGCAACACCACATCTGAAGGAAGCCAAGTAGAAATCAGATCAATCTTCCAACAACCAGAATCAGAAATCAAATCAAGTTTATATCCTTTGACCCCACATGTGTTTGGTTCTATGTGTTTTGTTCATCATCTCGGTCCAGGCTTGGATAAACTAGCTTCTAAGTCTCATAATATGTTTTTCTAAGTTATCCTCGATCTCAAAAGGGTCATCATTGCTACTCTCCAACTTTACGTCAATACTTTATCTCGACCAATGTTTCCTTTTTAGAATCAATTCCCTTTTTTGGCTCTTCTACTACTATGGTGATGAAGAATACCAAAGCTGAGGTTGAATCAGTTCCTTTTTTTATTTTTCAAGACTTAACCAAGTGTCTTACTAATACGTTGAATTATGATTACCATTTTATTGAATTTAATATAAATATTTGGAATATCTTATATTTCTTTACAAAATTAATGGGTATTATAAATTTAACTTTTTTTTTGTTAAATTATTAGATATTAAATATAATATACATTACATAAATTAAAAATATTATTTAATATCAAAACATATCCTAATGTATCTAAATCTAACATTTTAAAATTAATGTATCAAAATATCGTATGTATCCCGTATCGATGTCAGTGCACCATATTTCAATACTACTAATTAAATTAGAACAATCACATACCCATTAATCCACATATTTGGTGGTAAGCAAGCAAAGCAAAGACCTTTAATTTTAAGTGTGTATAATTTTGTTTTAAATTGGACACGGCTCATTTTTCACACTACACGTTCCACATTGGTTTCTTAATCTGCATTTGCACATCACATTAGACTGAAAGAGTAGCCAGATACAACTAAAGGAAATTCCCATTACATACGAGTTCAAGAAACGAAAATCTGGAAAAATTCAATCACTATTTTAATTAGTTGCGCACGCCATTCAGAAAATCATGAGCTTCTATATACACAGCATGCAACAGGGAATTCCAAAGGGAAAAAAAAGACTAGATGAAGTATATATTCATCTCGAATTCAATGGCCCAATGAGTGCTTAATTGGATTTTGATTCAATATCAGTCCAACAAAGCTGAGTTGGGTCAGTAACCTGAAAATAGTCAATTAAACAATTAATCACTGCAATGGATCAATCTTAATAGATTAACTAGATGGCAGAGTTGTTATATAAGTATTGACCATTAACTGAGACTGGGAAAATTATTGTGAACAAAATGATTCATGCAAGATTATCAGTGGAAATGTTTGACTTTCCATTTTGATTGGGTGATTTAGTGTGTTTGTCTTAACTTATGTGTTTCTCTTTATTAAAAAACTTTGAAATTTTTTTTTTTTAAATGTTGCATACATGAAATTCTCTGTCGCTGTAATCTATATTGAGTAGCGAAGTTTATCATACAAATATGCTAAAGGCAACTATTAAAGCCATGGTTTCTCATATCCCATACTAAAATAATACCACATCATCATGATGCACATTTATTGATCAAAATAGGGCCTCTACCACCATGGCCTAAGAGTCAACGGAGCTCACTTCCCCCTACACTAAGGGCTATAAGAGTAACATAGAATATGAGCTTGATAAGCTGATATCCTATTATGTGTTTGATATGCACTAGATAAGCAGTATGATAGGATAATGTTATCCTATCAAGTGTTTGAGGCGAACCATATAATGTCATGATATGATATAAATAGACAGAAATATCTCTTTCATGACATTTTAAAATTGATTTTTAAACTACTTTTTTTTTTAACTTATTTACATATTATTTCTTATTTTAAATTATTAAAAGAAATTAGAAGTCATAATTTTTAATTTTCAAATAAAATATATTAAAATACATAATTGACTTTCAATTTTTTTTTAAAATATTAAAAATAGGATAGGTTATACGTACTACTATTTTTTCTTCCCACCTCACTACCAACTTTGAATCGTTGGATCAAAATCAAATCAACGATTACAAAATAACATCAAGAGCAATTGATTTTGATACAACAATAACAAAGTTGGTAGTAAAAGATGGTAAGAAAAAATGATAGTAAGTATAACCTCCCTCATTAAAAATTATATCCTCACCAGATAAATTTTTAAAAATTCAATTTTAAATTGATTGTCAATATTGGTAGCCGGTGACTAGTGACAATGGTGGGTGGTGGTGGTGGAGGCAGCTTGTGCGGTGGGTGACCGATTGAATTGGTGGTGGTATTAGTTGCGGGGACAAGTGGCAATGGGTGTGGTGATAGCGCTAGTAGTAATCAGTAACAATTGTGGTGATTGATTGATGGCGGTGATGGTTGGTGCCGGTGGCCAGTGGTAATTGTTGGTACAATGGTGACAGGTGAGGGTGGTTGGTGAAAGTGGTGTTGTGACGGTGGTGGCAATTATGGTGGCTAATTAATAGCGACGGATGGTGGTAATGGTGGCGATGACAGTTGGTGCTTGGTGGTTTGGGGTGGTGGTTGGTTGGTGGTGGCAGTGGTAGCGATGGAGATGATAATGAGTGAGGGCAATAGTGGGGGCTGATCAGCGGTGGCGACTGGTTGGTGACAAAGGCTGACCCTCACGTGCCCAATAATGTTAGTAAAAGAAGAGCATAGGGCTATATTTAGAATAAGAGGAATGTCACATTTGCTATTTGCTATCCTGTCATGTCCTTTCCTAACCCGAGTCCCCCCTTACAGCTTATCTTATTGCAGACATGACAAAATGAGCCAATAGGATAAGGTTATTATATCCTGTTGGTTCACCAAACAATAGATAAGAGCAACATATGATAATATATCCTATCATATCCTCTTTATTCTATCCACCAAACAGGCCCTAAATATATGTACCTGCACTGCACTCAATTGGTACTCATAATATATAAAGCCTAAAATAGAAAACGCCAGCCTTTGTGGTTGAAGTGATTGAGTGGGACATTTGCATCAAACCCTCACGATGAAAGGTTGCAAATAGCAGAATAGCTAACAATACAATGTCAGATTTTTTAAGGCAATAAATACTAGCTCAATAATAGTATATGCCAACAGGTGCAACTCCATCCACAATTTAAAAGACAAAAAATGTGCAAAGACAGGGCAACGAAGAGAGAAATGGGGAAGAAGGTTGCATACCAACTCAAACAGTTCTGGGCAATCCTGCTTTCAGTACTAGCGTACATTCCGGTTAAGCAATCCTTGAAAAGATAGGTAAAGATCTTTGTTATCTGACCCAAATATCTCGTCTGCTTTTCTTAAAGTTTCCTAAAAGATCATGGAACAAGTTAAACAATGATTAACTACTAGAAAACAAAGAAAGCATTTCAATTCCAAATCCAATGCTTTAATTATTCAACATTGGAAAAAGTGTTTGTCCTTTTAAATGACACAACTTGTGTCATTTCACTCTCACAAAGAGGTAGGACCCATACCTTTATTTTTTTTGTCCACTCCTCCCCCATGATCTATCTCTTTCTCTCACTTAAAATGACATAATTTTACATCCTTTAAAATGACACACATTTTTTCCTTCAATATTTATTTACCTCTCGTGTTTGCTTTTGAGCATTTAATTCCTTTATGTTAGCAAGAAATGCACTGAACTGCTCATATGAAAGGCGACTCCTGAAAAAGTGACACATTTGATCCATTCAGTCAGCTTCTTAAATAAAATTTTAAGTAAAAAGTCACTTTACAACCACAGGGAGCAAGAAGGTCACCTGGCTTGACGAAAAAACTCCTTGCCATCAATCTTAGGGGTTCGACCTAAACAAAATTTATTTGTTACGAGGGATAAACAACCGAAAAAAGATAATCTAATAATGAAACACATTGAAGAGGTGCCAGGGCCCTGTATGCTTTACGCTTCATATAGAACAATACCCTAGACCAGCAGCATTATGTGGAATGGATAACATTCGAACCAAAAATTGCAGCACAAGGACTGAGCAAAGAAGCTTGACAAACTTCAAGGACCAATCTTAGTGAGATAGAGAGAAGAAAAGATGTTATAGTGGATAAACAACGAAACTTATAAACCTGGAAGTGATTGTCCCCGAGGTGGAGAGTTTGCTGCGGATGACTGCTGACTTGATGAATACCATGAAGAAAGGGATGGCCGACCTTCATATGGAAGTTTTGTGGGAGACACGGCACCAGATGTTTTCTTGGGGGATCCAGCTGCAGAATATCCTCTTGGAGACCCAGTTGTTGAGATCACCTTTGGAGTTCCAGTAGGTGTAAGACGTGGAGTGATATACGGAGTCAAAGAAAACCTTTGCCCTGAATACCTGGAAGCTATAGGACAGGAAAAGAAAAAGAACAAAAGGGAATGAATATGAATGTGAAATCAAATTTTAAACATCTGCAACCCCATTTTTCCTTATTCATATATAGTTCTGGCTATACTTTTATGAATCCTCTTTTTAAACATTTTTCCAATCAAACTTAATTATTTCCAGATAGAAAAATCCAAACTCTTTACTTTCCTGTACAAAACCCTGTTTCCCCATATTCCGTTTGATTAAGTATAATAATTTTCAGTTTTCACTATACAAGAACTTTAGATAAGCATGCCAACAAAGAATGATCAAAGGATGATAGATAATGCTCAAAAGGAGATGGAACAGAATTCATTTCCAAAATGCTAAATATTATGTATTAAAGTTTGCTTCATTACCTAATAACTTATGCAGGATAGGACTCACAAGGAGATAAGTTTTCCGCAACTGTTTCATGAGTTAAGTTCTGATGATGATAAACACAAGACAAAAAAAAAGATAAAGTTGCTACATATATGTGCTTGATGTATCATGCACGGTTATACACTCTATCTTGTTATATTTCACTTAGTATCATGCAATAAGATATGTGTAGTATTCTTTATAGAATATATCCAATTATTCTGTATATGTGTTTAATGGTTTAAATATTGGATATGTTTCTATGTGAGTGAGTATATAAGCATGATGCACATTCTAGTGTTTAATGTGGCAGTATATAATGCATCCTTTATGGAATATATCTAGTAGTAATTGATAGATGTCTTAATTGGATGTATCTATTAGAATCTTATATGCATGGACTAACTAGAGCTACATATTTAAGAATCATGCATTTTGAGATGTTGAATTATGAATTTGGACTAATTATGGTTTTCAAGTAAGTTATATTTCGAAGAAAATGTAACTAGAGCTATATTTTTGGACTAATTATATGCATGGACTAACTAGAGCTACATATTCAGGAATCATGATTTTGAAAAGCTGAATAATGAATTTAGGCTAGTTATGGTTTTCAAGAATGAGCATAGGATCAAGAAAATGAAAGACCCAAATTATGCTCAATTCAATAAGAAGAATGAACAAAAGGTCTAAGCATTTGATATAGTTGAAGAGAATAATTTTTCGGAAGTTTGGATTGCATCAAGAAGCCAAAGGACTAGATTTAGTACATTTTCTTTTATTTGCTATTGTTGGAAGGCGAGCCTTACACCAGTTGTAAGGTTGCTCCTTTGTGACTAAAAGATCATGGGTTCGAGTCCGGAAACAACCTCTTTTAAAAATGCAAGAGTAAAACTGTATACAATTGACCCTCACCCTTATCCTCACAAAGTTCCCTCACCCTTATCCTCACAAAGTTGGGAAGCTTTGTGCACCGGGTTTTGCCCTTTCTTCTTTGCAAGGATAATAGTTTTACAAGAGAACTCAAATAAGTTTTTCAATCTTTACAAGTGTTTTTAACATGTTAAAATGTCCAACAAAACATCTTTTGAGACTCTAGTTATGGTGATAGTTTAAAACTATGAAAACAACCATTTTTTGAGTTCTGAAAAACTGACCTTTGGTCAAAACTTCTTTCATATAAAGATATACTCGAAGATTTTTTCTCTGAATCGTCATTTGCTTAAAACAGTTGAGAAATAGAGAAGTTATGACCATTTGAAATCAATTTTCAAGATCAGATTTGGTGTGATGATTACCATGTACTTGAAAGCTCAAAAATGCTTGTAATCAATTAGCAAAGCGTTATAATCAATCACCATGGACAAAGAATGTCTATAAGCAATTACCAATACTGGCAATACATAGAAAAGATCGTATTTTGATTGATTATAACTTTGCTCTTTTATAATTTGGACTCTATATAAATGAAATTGAAGCCTTTAATACTCTAAAACACTTAATCTAATTATTGAATCATGAAAACCATGTTTTTAATCTAATTATTGAATCATTAAAACCATATTTTGATTCTTCATTGCAAAATCCTTATATCTTTGCTCTTCAAGTTGTATATCCATTCTTCAAGAGAGATAATCTTTTCTTTTGTCTTGTAAATCTTGTAAGAGGCTGAGGTATCCCTATAGAGAGGTTGAGGTTGAGGTATCTCTCAAGGTTTGTATGCAAAGGGTAAGGTATCCATTTTTTGTAGAGATATTAAATGATAAGAAGGTGAGGCATCGCACTAAATTTGTGAGATGGGTGAGGTTTCCCTTTACTTGTGAGGCTCGAACACTAACGATGAAGTATCCCAATAGTGTGAGTGATGGGCCTGAAGCATAAGGGATAAATGTAATAACAATATAGGGGGTTGTTATAGAAAGAGAAAAGGAAAAGAATTAATTAGTTCTAGAATATTCTTAGGAGATGGGATAAAAGAAGAGGGAATGTGGGGAGTGAGATATGCATGTATTGAGTAAATATTGAGGAACTGGGATCTCGGCGTGTTGGTTTTAAAGGTGAGCTTGGGAAGGGTCTTTTTAGTGTCTTATTTTGTCAATTGGTTTTTGTAACAGGCTATGCCTCCGTTGATGCAATAAAATCTGTAGAAAATCAGAATTCAAATTCAAATATTTTTCCGTTTTTATTTATTAGGAATAATTAAGAATAATTAGGATTGATTGTTTTTTATTTCCTATTAGTTAGGATTAATTGTAATTAATTAGAATTAATTGTGATTAGGTTTAGTGAGTCATAGCTGAGTCATTCTTATGATTGTGATTAGGTTTGGTGAGTCATAGCTGAGTCATGCTTAACTATTTTTTCTTGTATAAATACTCCTCATTCCTCATGTAATTATTCAATATCGATATACTGAAAACCTTTCTCAATATGGTATCAGAGCAGGTTGGTTCTGAGAAAACTCAGCCACCACAACCACCGTCAAACCAGCGGCACAACGCCAGAAAACTCAACCTCCAACCATTATTAAGGTTATTTTCCCTTCCTACAAAGTCCCAAAAGCAAAGTAAGGCTACCAATCACTGTAAAAGGCAAAATCCCAGCTTTCCACCGCTGTCAGCCACCGTCAGCAGCCGTCGGAAAATTTTTCCGACGACATTTCCGACCAAGATCCGCACCATTCAAAACAGAAGGAGCCGATCTACAAGTTTCAAGAAGGACCATCGGATTCTGCTGAGCCACGCGCCCCCACGCGCTAGAGAAAGGACGGAGCGTCCGCCCTACGCGTTACCACACGCAGCCACGTTGATTGAAAGTAAATTTCTATCCAGCAATGTTGCTCAACAAGGTATAGCGTTCCATGTTGATAATAGTAGTCGATGGATTCTTGATTCAGGGGCTTCAGATCATATGACAGGTAATGCAACCTTATTTTGTTCTTATACCCCTTACTATCAACAATCACGAATAAGAACAGCAGATGGCAGCTTCTCTACTATTGCTGGAAAAGGATCCATTAAACTTTCTGAACACATTACTTTGAACTCAGTCCTTCATGTTCCCTCTCTTACTTGTAACCTTATCTCTATCAGCAAACTTACGTCTGAGTTACATTGTGTTGCCAAGTTTTCTGTCAATGCTTGTGTTTTCCAGGAACAGGACTCGGGGCTGATGATTGGCAGTGCTAGAGAGGAAGAAGGACTTTATTATTTAGAAAAAGATTCTTGTGAAGGAAAAAATTTTGTGAACCACTCGGTATGTTTGTCTGATGATTGTAATGATGTTTTGTTGTGGCATCGTCGGTTAGGACACCCAAATTTCATTTATCTTCAGAAGTTGTTCCCAAGCTTATTTATCAATAAAAATCCCAGTTCTTTTTCTTGTGATATTTGTCAGCTTGCAAAACATTCTCGTGTTTCTTATCCTCCTAGAGTCCATCATGATTCTTCTCCATTTACCTTGATTCATAGTGATATATGGGGTCCAGCCCGTGAAAAAAATATCTCTGGTGCTCGTTGGTTTATAACTTTCATAGATGATCACTCTAGGGTATGTTGGGTATACCTTCTAAAGGATAAGTCTGACGCTGCATCCATTTTTAAAAACTTTCATGCATGGTTCAAACTCAGTTCCAGACCTCTATCCAAATTCTTCGAACTGACAATGGTACTGAATATTTTAATTCTGTTCTTGGAAACTATCTCAGCCAGCATGGTATTCTTCATCAAAGTTCTTGTCCTAACACCCCTCAACAAAATGGGGTGGCTGAAAGAAAAAATAGACATCTCCTTGAAGTTGCTCGAGCTCTTATGTTTACCATGCATGTCCCTAAATATTTGTGGGGGGAAGCTGTCTTGACTGCAGCATACCTCATCAATCGGATGCCTTCTCGTGTCCTAAATTTTCAATCTCCTTTATCTTGTCTTACCCACACCTTTCCTTCTTTCCGGGCTCATTCTTCCCTTCCTCCCAAGTTGTTTGGCTGTGTGGCTTTTGTACATGTTCCTCCCCATCAAAGGTCCAAGCTCGATCCTAAGTCCATTAAATGTGTCTTCATAGGATATCCTCCTAACCAAAAGGGCTACAAGTGTTACTCATCTTCACTTCGTAAGGTCTTTGTTTCTATGGATGTCACATTTGATGAGAGACAATCTTTTTTTCCTTCGACTTCTCTTCAGGGGGAGTCTATTGGGGTTGATGAAGATAAGTCTTGGAAACCAAATGATTCTGTTGTTTTGCCTTTGCCGTTGGAGACAGGGGGAGTCATTATGCAAAAGACAGGGGGAGTTAATGTGTCAGATAATGGAGATCCTCCCGGGAAATGGGGAAAGTTTTACAGCAGGCGAGAATCACCTCAGGAGCCTCTAGACTGCCAGGATTCTGACTCGAGTCTTAGTTCCAGCAACACTGATACAGCCAACCTAGATGTGCCTATTGCTCTCCGAAAAGGTACTAGATCTTGTACTGCTCATCCTATTTCTCATCATATCACATATGAAAAGTTGTCCCCAGGTTTTCGTGCTTTCAACACTATGTTAGACAGTACAAAAATACCAAAAAATATCCAAGAAGCACTTGATGATCCAAAATGGAGGAATGCAGTCTTTGAAGAAATGGATGCACTCAACAAAAATGGAACTTGGGAGTCTGTAGCATTACCCAGAGGAAAGAAAACAGTAGGTTGCAAGTGGGTGTTCACAATAAAGTTTAATGCAGATAACAGCATCAACAAGTATAAGGCCAGACTGGTTGCTAAGGGATTCACTCAAACTCATGGGATAGACTATCAAGAGACATTTGCCCCTGTTGCCAAGCTTAATACTATCCGAGTTCTTTTATCACTTGCTGCAAATCTTGGTTGGCCCTTGCAACAATTAGATGTAAAGAATGCTTTCTTGAATGGTGATCTACATGAAGAAGTTTATATGGATCCACCACCTGGTTTTGAAAAAGGAGACGATTCAGTATGCAAGTTGAAAAAGTCTCTCTATGGTCTTAAACAATCTCCTAGAGAGTGGTTTGAGAAGTTTACTCAAGCTGTTAAGGGAAGAGGATTCCTCCAAGCTCAGACTGATCACACTTTATTTTTAAAACACTCTAATGGTGGTAAAATTGCTATTCTCATTGTTTATGTTGATGACATAATTGTCACAGGTAATGATTGTGAGGAGATAAGCTCTTTGAAGAAATGTTTAGCTAATCAGTTTGAACTGAAGGATCTTGGATCTCTCAAATATTTCCTAGGCATGGAAGTTGCTCGAAGTAAGGCAGGAATTTCTTTAACTCAGAAGAAATATATTCTAGACCTGTTACAAGAAACAGGAATGCTTGGGTGCAAGCCAGCAGAGACTCCAGTTGAACCCAATATTAAATTGGGAATCGAAGATGGGAAAGAAGTTGACAAAGAGCAGTATCAGAGATTGGTGGGGAAGTTGATCTACTTATCTCACACTCGGCCTGATATTGCATTTGCAGTTAGCATGGTTAGTCAATTCATGCATTCTCCTAAGGAAAAACACCTGAGTGCAGTTTATAGAATTCTGAAGTACCTCAAAAACACCCCTGGTCGAGGATTGTTCTTTAAAAGGGGACACAAGAGGATGATTGAAATATACAGATGCAGATTGGGCTGGCTCTGCATTGGACCGAAGATCCACTTCAGGATATTGCACCTATATTTGGGGAAATCTTGTGACCTGGAGAAGTAAGAAACAAACAGTTGTTGCCCGGAGCAGTGCAGAAGCAGAATTTCGGGCTCTAGCCCATGGTATTTGTGAAGGAATTTGGTTAAGAAGACTCCTTGAGGAATTGAAGATCTCTTTTTCCCCACCTGTCAGAGTGTATTGTGATAATAAGGCTGCTGTCAGTATTGCTCAAAATCCAGTTCACCATGACAGAACAAAACATGTGGAGGTTGATCGCCACTTTATCAAAGAAAAAATAGATGATGGAAGTGTATGTATGGTGTATATTCCTACCAAAGAGCAGCAATTGTTTTTATTTATTAGGAATAATTAAGATTAATTAGGATTGATTGTTTTTTATTTCAATAAAATCAGTGTTGTAAATTTGGGTTGAATCATTTTGGTATTAGAGAACTTCCGATCTAGGGGTGCTCCAGGTCCAAATCCTTGAGAGAGTGGAAATTATGGGAGTAACCAGCATGTCATAATTCAAAGAAATTTTAAAAAAAATTATGAAGGTTTTAGATGAGGCAATAGAGAAGATGGAGAGACCGAGTTTGAAATCAAGAAGAAGCACAATCTTGATGCCAATAACCAGTCAAAGAAGAATCAAGAAGAGGCAGAGGAAAATATGAGATTAAAATCATATTTGAATAAAACCAATGCAAACACCGAAAAATATTAAGGAATTGAAGACGTAGAGGTTGAAGAGACCGGAGAAGGAAACAAGAACAAGAAGAAGACACAGATGGGTATGACGTTTTGTTTGATGGGTCAGAAAATATTTTCAAAGTTTTTTCTATCATTGGGTGTGATTCCAGAACGAAAATTACAGAGACGAAGGAGCATTTGCATCTCAATGTTTTGGACCAGATAATGGAAGAAACAAGAGTGGGTCAGTCTCACAAGTTGTCTAATGGGTCAAAACGACTTTCATAGGAGAATCAGACACTGAGGCAGAATTGAAGCAGAAGCATCACTCGATCAAAGAGGTCCTAGAGGCTGAGAATAGAGTAGGGAAGATCAAAGCAGAATATATGTTGCAGAAGAAGTTCGTGAAAAAAGAAATGGAGAGGTGCGCTCAGCCTCCACATGGGGATGACAATGGGTCGCTCATAAGTGACTAGCTATGGATATGCCCTGTACATGATGATGGAAGGAATGAGTGGCCTTGAGAATTGGGGAAAGAAGGAGGGGCAGAAATTGGAATTTTGCGTCATGGGTCAAAACTTTCCCCTAATGGGCCTAGCCCAAACTAAGGTAATAAAGAGAGGTGCCACATAGCTATACAACTTGATGGAGGCCTAGGTAGTAGGCTGCAACACCAGATCTCATCAGGCCCAAACCAAAGTGAAAAAGTCCTTTTTTTGTCATGCAACAAAGGAGGCAAAACAACTTCCTCCTCTGAGAGCATCTTCCAAGGAACCCATTGTGCTTGAACGAAAATGTGACAGCAGCATGGGTTCATCTCAGCAAGTGGTTTTTTAGTCGAGTGGCATACAGACTTGGGCAATTCTTTGATGTCTTCCAGATGGTGTCAAGAAGGGATTTTACAACATTTGGATATTACTCTCGTGTAATGTTAATAGGGCTGGCTCGATGTGCTTTCCTTATTAAAAGCATAACTTGGTTAATATGCTTCAAACAATGGGACCCGGGTGGAATTTCTCTGACATCTCCTATCTTCTTTCCTCACCTTGAGGACAAGGTGAGTTTTGGAGGGGGAGTATTGATGGGCCTGAAGCATAAGGGATAAATGTAATAAAAGTATAGGGGTTGTCATAGAAAGGAAAAAGGAAGAGTTAGTTCTAAAATATTCTTAGGGGATAGGATAAAAGGAGAGGGGGGGGGGGGGAGTGGGGAGTGAGATATGCATGTATTAAGTGAATATTGGGGAATTGGGGATCTCTTGGAACCTACATGTGTTGGTTTTAAGGGTTAGCTTGGGAAAGGTCTTTTTAGTGTCTTATTCTATCAATTGGTTTTTTGTAAGAGGATATGCCTCCATTGATGCAATAAAATCAATGTTATAATTTTGGGTTTGCATCAGTGAAGAATGTTGTAATCTTGTAAAGACTTTTCAAGCACCTAGTTGAACTTTCAAGATAGTGAACAAATCTCAAGTGCTGAGCTTAAGGAATGAATTTAAGTTAAAAGTGGTTACTGATAAAACTAGGATAAATTCTCAAGTTTGATTCTCTCTTCCTTACACTCCTTAATTATACTATTTGTTGCACTACATCTATCTACTGCACATCTTTTGTGTGTTTTTTTTATTATTGAAATTGGTGTTTCACTTGTGTTTTCTTAAATCCTATATACTTCCAAGTTGAATTTGACTAATCTAAAATATTTGTATTTTTATTTAAGTTATTCCGCTGCATCTATTTCCTAACTACATTTAAATGCATGATTTGTCAAAGTAATCATAAAACTTGTAAACATCCAATTCACACCCTATTGGGTGATGGATGGTTGCCATGAATAACAACTTATATCCAGCAATATAGTTGAATTCTGAAAAATGAACACTAGTCACAACATGATTTATAATCTGGAAAATTCATCTACCTTCATCAATTGTTTTACCCCCGTCTGCAGGGCCACTGTATGAATGATGTGTCGTATAGCCGCTTCCATCATCATCTGCAAGCAATATTATATGAAATACAATTCGCTAGAAAGGCTTTGGGTGAAAATGATAATCAAATAATCAATGAAGTGGGAATTACCCTTATCAGGATATGCCTTTGGAACTGATTGGTCACAGGTTCCAATATCTATGGTTTCAGCTTGCTGTGCCAAGAGCAATGAAAAAGAAAGGAAGGGAAAAAATCTTGTTTAGGAGAATAATATTGGTCATTTTCATCACCAAAATCAATCGTAATTACGATAAGCATGGCTGAAATAATATATTGATGTCTTACGGATGGAGTATCATCAGTTAGCGACTGCATCAGTTGTTTTTTAAACATCTCCAACTATCAAATAAAAAAAATAAAAAAAGAACCTGTCAGGTCTACAGAAAAATGGGGTATAAAGAAAAATATAGCATTTCACAATCAAGACAGTGTTATCTGTATATATACAAGAAGAAATATGCATGCAATAAAATAGTATTTTACCAATAGGAATCATATTCAACTTTCTATCCACCATGTCACTTGCAACTATTTCATACCCGAGTGTTCAAGAGAAAATTGCTGTTTCCATCTATTGCTTAGCAATAACTTAAGCAGATAATAAGCAATGCTTTAAAATAATAACTATCACCTATTTAAAAACTGAATAAGATACAGGGGTAGCATTCATCTTCACTTTTAATAGAATGCTTTAAATTCAACTTCTCAGTTGCTGATGACTTAAATAAAAGATTAAAAGTCATCTTCATTTTCACTTCCATCCTTGATCCTTAATCTCTCAATTTATCAGCTAACAGCACATTTTGCTATAGGGACTAACCTAATATTGAGTTCTTGTCTATAAATGTCTTGCTAGCTGACATTTTGCAAAGGAGAATGATGAAGGTTCTAGAGCTTGCAATACATCAGCTATCATCTGCAGTTGGGTTTTGTTTAATACAACACGAATTTATTGAGATCAGCATCATATACTTTCTTTAACTAAATGAATAGCATTATACCTCACTGATAAGAACCAAACTCCAGAATCAGTAAAAGAATAACGGAACACAAGTTTTTTGATATGGAAAACCCAGATCTGATATATGTATTGGCAAAACAAAAATTACAACTAAAGGAAATTTTACTACTGATAATAAGGGAAATTACAGAAACCAGAATGACAAGAATAGATGAATAACAATGAAGCAATTTGAGAGGCTGCACACTCTCCCAAGGATCCCAATTCCAAGTATGCAATTCCTTGCGTCCCTTCAGCACCCATCCTCCCTTTTAACTAACTCCTGCCAGCACCTCATTTTGTTAAGGGTCAATTTAGGAAATTTTTGCTGACTCAGCAATGGCCCAAACCACCTATTTTTATTCTTTTTATAAGATGATCTGTATCACTCACTCCATGGAAAATCAATGGAATTGCTATTGACTTGCAGGCATAATTCCTTAAGGAGGTGTTTGGGAGAGGAGAAAAAAAAAATTACCGGGAATATGATGGGGAAAAAATTTCCCGGGTAAGTTACTAAAAGGTGTTTGGTAGGCCAAAATTTTTCTGAAAATGTTGGATTAATTCTACTAATGTTGTGTGTTAATTTTTCCACCACATGAGAGAAAAAAAATTTCACCCCATCAATGGTAATCTTTCATGACAATTTTATATGGAAAAGCAAATGATGGGAAAAAAAATTTCTCAGCCTTACTTTAACTTCACCTTCTACCAAACATAGGCAAATAATTTTCCCACCCCATTTTCTTGGAAAAAAAAATTTCACCTCCTACCAAACACCCCCTAAAAATCTTGCAAACAAAGACATTTCTAGGACAACTAGTTTTACAAGCCATGATGAGATCAGGACAAAATGTAATCGACATAAGGAGGCTGCTGCTTATAGCCATGATTGGAACTCTTCACCAAATGTAATTATTTTCATTGGTTTTGTAGCTTTTCATGGTTATAGGTTATAGGTTATAGCATTAGTTTGTACAATTACAAATGACAACGAGAATCATAAAATTGCATCATGTGTAGGTTTTACTTTGGCAACCAACATATTTTTGAGGCTCTACTATTATAATATGAATTGGTCAAGGATATGAATCCTTAACCTAAAATCTGTTGAAAATAATCAAGTATGAGTTGTAAAGAAGACCCACATCAGTTAGACTTCAACCAAGCGAGGACCGTATAAGTGCAAAAGACCCATAGACCTAGAGTCTTAAGGTTGTCAAACCACTTATTGTGGTTTATCATTTGAGTCCAATAGTGGAAGAATCCTTTGCAAAGGTTCTTGCACTCCCCGTACCATTCTTAACAGTAGTATCAAAGTCAATGGTTTGGCTCGGCCAAGTATTTGGAAATGGTGATGTTTCAAGGCCTCCGCAGAAAGCTAGTGTGACTCCAATACTTGAAGAGAAGAGACTTCCGTAGAAGTTTCCTTTAAGGGGGAGCATGATGTTGGGCCTCACACTTAAGGGGAAGATGTTGAAAATAATCAAGTATGAGTTGTAAAGAAGACCCACATCGGTTAGACTTCAACCAAGCGAGAACCATATAAGTGCAAAAGACCCATAGACCTAGAGCCTTAAGGTTTTAGGTTAAGATGTGGTGTCAGCCCACTTTGTGGTTTGTCGCTTGGCCCATTCATGGAGGTATCCTTTGCAAAAGGTTTTGGGCTCCCCCATACAATTCTTAACAAAATCATGGCCTAGAAGTAGGTGGATTCCATTATGAGTTCTTTCAATCTATAGAAACACTTGAATGCAAATCAAAACAAACTCCAATTGATCCAAAATTAGCAATATCTTATTTTGAGGCATACACCAAGTAATGATACAATTGAAATAAACTGTTGATGCAGATAAAAGCATAAAGTATGCAGCAGTTGAAACATGTCAGACAACATATTTACCAGCTTTCAAAAATGTAAAGCACGCGAAAGGATGGGAAACTGGGCGCAGTTCTAGCACAAAGTATGCAGCAGTTGAAAAATCATAGAGAGTAAAGACAGAATAAAAAATAAAGCAAGACAGAATAAAAAATAAAGCAAGACAGGATACAAAAATCATACAAACATTCACCTTTGCAAAGTCTCGACTTAGCTTTCTCACTGTTGCTGCTAATTGGTCCCTCTCCTTCGAAAGCTTTACCTAAAACAAAATGGTAGAATATAAAATTCATCTAACATCAACTCTAAACTCTCCATTAAATAGCGTTGACTTGAACAAAGATTTTAAATTTCAAATTTTCCACTCAAACAAGCAAATTATGCCAAGCTGCTCATTCATCCTCTCTTTCTACCCACCTTGTTTGTTCGGTTTCTTATAAATGTCTTGCCACTAATTATTATGAAAAGCCAATCTTTCCTTTCTGTTGAAAGAAACATGCAACAACCAACAACCATATCTAACCAGCAATGATAAATAACAACTGTTTAACTCACCAACTTCATTCATTTCCTCTATTCATCGCCTTGCGCCGTTCATTATTCAACACCATAACACATCTATGCATTTATAAAAAGAGCAACATGATGTTGATATAAAAGGGTAATACCCATCCTTACCTTACATTTAAGAAAGAGATAAATTGAAGCTATGAATTCCTAGTTCATATTCACATGGCGACAACAACAAAGACTCTGGTTCAGATATATGTATTTATAATTTTCAAAATAAAAAAAAAAAAAAAAAAAAACCCAAATTCGTAGTAACAGAAGTGTAAAGAAAAGAAAAAGAGAAAGGTACATTTTCATTGAGGGCGGAGTTCAAGGTGGACTCAGCTTGGTGGCAAGCACGGGTGAGGGAAGAGACACGGTCTTCGAGGTCGGAGATGAGACGGTCCTTTTCGAGAAGCTTCTGGCGGAGGCGGCCGGCGTCGGACTCGAGGGATGAGACCCTGGCGGCGATGGCCATCGATGTTATCTTCCGAGCCAGATCCAGCTGCTGGTACGGGTCGGTTGGTATCACCGAAAGAATCTCGTCTGGCAGGTCGAAATCCACCACATTACTCTGCGACATTCCCAACCCTCAAATGATTGGAGAGAGAGAGAGAGAGAGAGAGAGAGAGAGGGGGGGTTGGTTGTTGCCTTGTTGCAGAGTGGGTGATGATGAATCATGAACAATGTTGCCTTAAACAAAGTTATTTGCACAAACTATTCACTAAATTTTTTAGGGGAATATGGAATATGGCCTGGCATAAAATTATATCATGTAATATATAAAAAAGTGAACGATACTAATTAAGAAAATAAAAGAGAAAAGAGAAAATAAATTTCACTTATTTTTTGTTTGTATATAATATAAAATTATTTAATATAACATTAGAAACATATTTTACTTTTAGTTATTTTGGGAAGATAAAATTCAATAATTTTAAAGTGTTTAAAGTAAATAATTATATGTGAGAAGTTAAGAATAAATTCATTTTATAAATTATTCATATATATAAGTTTCAAAAGTTTAATAAAATTTAAAATTTATTTAATTACTTAATGTAAAAAAATTAGAGTTTTTAAACTGAAATATTATTATTTAAAAGGAAAAATTCCCTATAAAGTTTAGAATTCATACAATAAAGTAACAGATTCGAATTTATCATTTATTGTTATAATTTGTTTATTTAGTTATTAGTCTATTGATTTATATTATATCCTTATTGATTTATATATTTTTATTTTTTGAAGATAAAAGATAATAATATATATCAAAAAATATAATAGTTAACCATGTTTGAAGTAGATAATTATATGTGAGAAGCTAAAAATAAATTCATGTATTAATTATACTTATTTGTGTGATCTTATTTTTGTGTCATTTAATCCTCTTAAATTCTTCATGGATTCGTTTAAAAATTTTATTTTCTTATTTAATGATTTACCTAAAAAATTGATAGTTTTCAAAATGATTTAATTATTAAATATTATAATGTAAAAGTAAAAAACCTCAATAGAATTTGGGAGTGGATCCTCTCATGTGTTAATTATAATTAACATGACCATGTCATGTGGAGAAATCATAACTATACATGGGTGAGTTAACGATGATAAGGGAGAAGAGAGAAAAAATATAAGGATAAGAAGTTACACAATCATCACCGTTGATTTAATTATTAATGGTTAAAATCCTCTCACATGATATGATCATATTAAATTACAGATGAGATGATCCATATCCGTAAAAAAACATATTAATTTGTAAAGGTGGGTCAGATTTTTATTTTTAAAAAAAAGTTTGAGCAAAAGGGTATTCTTTTCTTTTCTTTTCTTTTCTTTTGGTGGGTGATGGATCCTGACTTTCTTTTCGCCCGTCCTTATCTATGTTTCAATTTTGTATTGTTTCCCTCCAAAATGGATTTACGCACTCCTTTTTTTTTCAGTTTTTTGCCTTTTCTGTTTTGTGGTATGTTCGTCTTCCCTCTCTTATGAATTGGTTTGAACTTTAAAATTTAACCGCCAACTCTATTTTATTTTAAAGTTCGTTTTTTCTGTAGTTACTGCAGATAAGTTATCTATACAACGTTATTTTGGAACGGAAATTATGGTGTTTTTGTAATTTTAATTTATTTCAGAGTTATAATAGTCTTTATATTTATAATTTTTTAAGATTTTAATACCAAAACGATATCATTTCAAAAATAAATGCAGATAACTTATTTGCAGTAAGTTCATAAACATTTTTCCCTTTATTTTATTTTTTGAAACATTTGATTAACTATCCCTTCCAACAATCAATCTATAATACCATGTTTAAAACGAATCAAGCAAAATCTCAAACAGCCTTTTTACCGCGGAGTTTCGGTTGAACCACATAATTGATTTTTATTGTCACTCAAGTGATAACGCTGAAATATATAATTGGGTGTTTGTTGCAAAAATTAAAGTCCGAGGGTTTATTTGACTGTTTTTTTTTTTTTCTCAAAACTATTTTGTAGAATAGTTAATAAATAGGTAATTTTTTTATAAAGTTAAAAAACAAAACTAAAATAATTCTGAAATGTTCTCTAAATTTGATTCTAAAAATTAAAAAATAATTATAATTTTTAGAACTATTTTTACAAAACAAACCTTATCAAATAGGTTTTGTTGTTCTGAAAATAAAAAACTATTTTTAGAACTCAATGTGTTTATGGATTTAAAGACTATAAAGATTAATGGGAAGTTCATTCCTATTAGGAGTGTTCATCAACCGATCCAAACCGATTCAAACTGCGGTGACCGAACCGAAAAATCGAATAAACCGAAAACTGAAAAATCGAAAAAAAAACCCGCAAATTTTAATTGGATTGGATCGGTTTTCGGACGGGTTGATGAAAACCGATCCAATCCTAACCGATCCAATATATTAATTCCTCTCTACTTACTTGGGCATTTCCCCAATCATAGCCCAAAAATTTTGAAACCTAAGAAAAAACTTAGTCATATCTCATCAACAAAATTTCGTCTGCGTAGAGTTTCATATCTCATTGTCCAAAAAAAAATTATATTATTGTCTATTGATGCTTTTGTATTTCAAAAAATTAAATTTATAAAGCCAATATATACAAAAGTTGTTATTTGCACAATAATCATGAAACAAATTTAAAATTTAAAAAAAAAAACCGAAAACCGATCCAATCCAAACCGAAAAAAATTGGATTGGATCGGATCGGATTTGAAAAAAATCCAAACCGAATGGATGATTACATGAACAAACCGAAGGGATTGGATCGGATGATTTTTGCTTCCAAAATCGATCCAATTTAGACCGCGAACACCCCTAATTCCTATATATCATTCTCACGGAGAAAATTATAAAGTTGCGATCAATGTGAAGCAATAAAAGTAATATTTTTTTATAAAAGGTTTATGGAATTAAAGACTATAAAGATTAAAATAAGACTAATTACTAAACTAAGCAATAAGTAATGTAAAAGTAAAGTAAGAGTGCACTAGATTACCCAAAAAAGGAGTTAGAGTGCACTCGAGAATAAATAATTCAAGTATCAAAGTCGATTGGAATCATTTTTCCCTATATTACAACTTCACTAGAATGCTGAAACAATGTTATAGAAATCCTCCATCAGTAACCAGAACAAATAATTTTACGTAGGCCCTTTCACCAACCTTACACGTATAACCCAACAATTAATCCTCATTTCCCTATGCAAAATTAACTATTGGATTCGATTAAGAACAAGCTCCATGTGGCTATTATCACAACTGGATCGTGTCATGACGATAAAAAATTAAAAACAATGGAGTCCCACCAAAGTTTATTTGGGAAAACATTGAAAAAACCTCTTTGTTTAAGAACATTGGTCTTTCAAAACATAAATGGATTCAGAAGTTGATTATGAGTAGAAAAGGTGTTAGCACCCTACATCGTCCATTTAAAAAATGGTTACCTTATATTAATTGTGCAAGTTATTGAAAAAAAATTTAAATATTTATTTCACCCCATAGAATTAAATAAGAATGATTAAAGGAATAATTTTATTTTTGGGCTTAAGGGTGTAACACCCTGTCTCTAGTCAATTTGCTAACATGCAATATGGTAATAAAAGCGCAACATACTTAATTTATTAAGTGGAAAACCTTACTCAAAATATCATCGTTACCTTAAGTATCTAGGTGACTTAACTTTTTCTTTTACTTACATTACATAATTGTCATACATATTATATTTTCATATTATTATAAACCGTACAGTATCATACCTACACAAAATGGTAAAATGTCAATTGTGTAATCCTAGACAATGATATGATAAATTGGAGCTTAATTTGAGGAAAATAATATCGGAAATGGATTCAATACGAAATTTGGAGTTTGTAGGTATATTTTGAGAAATTTTAATGAATAATGATTTTTACTTGATAAAATACTGCAGTATAATTGCATCTGTAAAAGTGCAAAAGTGAAATTATGCTCTAAAAAATAAAAATATGTAGAGTTGGAATAAAATTAATGAAATATAAATTTAGTGATGATTGGTGGGTTAAATGAATAAGTTTAAGTGAGTTAAAAGACAAGTGAGTCTCACCTCCCACTTAAATGGATTAAAGCATATGAGAAATAGCATTTTCACTCATCTTCTCCCTCTCTTCCGATTGAAACCATCGACCTCCTCCATTGGTGAATAAGGCAAGGTTTTGCTTGCCTTGTTTGACCTAATCTAGCCACCAAATCACAAAACTTTAAACATCAAAGTTGTTTGTATTGAGATTGTGAGTATCTTTCCTTTCTCGAGGGTGTCTTGAAAGTGAGCGTGTGAAGAGATCCTTCTCCACCTCCCTTGGATGATTTTGTTGTGGAAGAAGGCTTTTGAGGGTGGTTGAACTTGTTTAATTGCTTGGAAACTACTCCTATGGTCATTTGAAGACTATTAGTGGTAAGTTTCTATACTCCCTTTGAGTTTTCATGGAAATCATAAAATGGATGGGTGTTTGGTTATGTATTGTTGAGTTGTGGTAATTAGGATCATTAAATGTTATGTCTCCTTTTGAATTAAATGCTTAAAATGATGTATGATGATGATTGAACCAATAAAATTTATAGTGATATGTAAATTTTAACTTAGTGAAATTTATGGTTGGAAAGTGTTGAAATTTATGGTTGAAATCATTAATGTGGTGGATGGACCTTATGTGTAGGTCTTGGGGAATTTAATTTGGATGTTAGAGGAACATGAAACATATTTGAATCATTAGAATTATCTTGGACCTTGCATGTTGTCATTAATGGCTATGTAAGCACATTTGAGAGAAATTGTGGTAAGGTTCCCATTGGGTATGTGGAATGGTTTGATAGTGTTGGATTAAATGGTGAGGTTTGTTGTGAGTTGTAGAATTACTGTGACTTGTTGATCAAGTTGCTGATGATTATAATAACCCTAATGTTGAGAATTCAAAATCATAGAGTTATTATGAGGACATTTAATGAGATGAGGACGAAATTATATGAATAACCCTATTGATGGTATTTTAAACAGGTGGATTTCTGCCTGTTATTTTTTACTGCTGATTCAGCAAAAAATAGTAGAATAACCCTAACCAAGTGAATCTGAGTTAGAGAGTTATTCTAATGATACCAGTATCATAGATGAGTTTAGAATTCAATT